GAGCGGCCGCGGGGATGCAGGGGCCCGGCCGAGCCCTCCCCGCGGCCCCGCCGCCCCTCAGCCTGCGCTCTCCGCGGAGCTCGCTGCCATCGCCGAGCTCGCCGCGGGCCCCAGGGGCGGGCGGCGCGTCTCGGTGCCAGGCGGGGCGGCCTCGGGGCGGCGGTGCCCGGCCAGCCCGCGGTGCCCCGGCGGAGCCGCCGCCTCCCCCGCGGCCGCCCCGCTCCGCGGCCCGGCTGCCGCACGCACCCACCTGCCACGGCCGCGCCGGCCGGCCCAGGAGCGCCCGTCCCGCAGCGCCGCCGCCGCCGCCTGCCCTCGGCGGGCGCCCCGTCACCCCGGCAACGCCGCGCCCGCCCCGCCCCGGCCCGTCAGCTGAGCGCGGGCAGCCAATGGGATGGATGGATGGATGGATGGATGGATGGATGGATGGATGGATGGATGGATGGATGGATGGATGGATGGATGGATGGATGGATGGATGGATGGATGGATGGATGGATGGATGGATGGATGGATGGATGGATGGATGGATGGATGGATGGATGGATGGATGGATGGATGGATGGATGGATGGATGGATGGATGGACGGCACCGTGTGTCCTCACTGGGAGGATGTGAGCAGGGATGTGCGCCTCCTACCACTGGTGTGAAGCCAGGGTGAATCACAAGCGAGGGGGGGGTGTCCCTTTTATCCCACCAGGAGGACAGGATAGCAGGGCACTCCTGTGCCCACCTCTGCTTCCAGATGCTGCCTGGTGTTGGGACTGCAGCCTTGGCATTGCTGATGCCCCTCAGAGGGAGCTCAGGCTTGTGGCTGCTGGGCTGTTCTAAAGGTACTGGCTCTTGGCCATTGCTAAGGTGAGTGTACAATGAGTCCTTGTAATTCAGCAAAGCTCTTTCCACCTCTCCTGCCCAAAAAGCATGACAGAGGCTTTCTGACAACACACTGCAAATTCTCCTTTCTTGAGTAGCTTTTTCTTCCTGCTAGCTCAGAGCCTGAAATATTTTATCCATTCTCTAGGTAATAAGTTACCCAGCTGTAAGCACAGTGCCAATACCAAATGCAGTATCCATGGAGAAATGGAGAAATCCAGCCCTTCACGGATAGTAAATTTTTCATAGTTGCTAGGTTGGATGTTACTGCCACTTACTGTGACACAAATTAGGAGCTTTTATGAAGTTAGTGATTCTCCAACATTGGTGAAACTAGTCTTGGAGATCTTGGTAAAAGTACTGCTGCTGCAGGAATTTCAGGTTATTAGTTTTACTTCTAATGAAAAAGTTAATGATCCACTTACAGTCTAGACAACTTATAGACACACAAGGAACAAGGTTAGACTCTGAAAAAATGAACAAACTATCATACTGGGAGGTAAAGCATTTTCAAATAAACAGAATTTTTGGATCTCCTCACCAAAAATGTTTGAAGATCACCAGCCAAAGGGCTTCTCTAAAAACAAGGAGTGCTTATTGAAATCCAGCAAGTTGTATGCAAAGAGAAATGATTGCTGCAAAACTAGTTGTTTCCAATTATAAAACCCAAACAACTCTGAATGTACAGGGGTTTTCATGTAATTCTCTTCTGAAGGGCCTTCAAAGAAGAGCTTTGCTTCAGGACCCTTGCCAGGAGGAGCTCTGCAAGAGGCTGGAATTTCAGTGAGGAATGGCATGCTGCGGCACAACAGCAGCGCATCTGTTGTGAATAGCAGCTGCTGCACAGCACTGAGCATTGCACACAGTCTCACTATTTACAGACAATCTTTTGTGTGTTATCTGTTTTCTGGAGCCACCAGTGAAACTGTTGCGTGAGTTCTTCTTAGTAGAATCATCATGTATGTTTCAGATACTCGTTTTAAAGCAGTATAGTTAGACAAAGGTAGTAAAATATCTCAGAGTTCTTGAAGTGTTGACTAAACACTCAGGATTACCATATAAAGAAACATTAAGACTTTCATCAGACAGTGGGTTACTATGCTAATGAACTCAGAGCAATGTGCTGTCTGTAACACTGAAACTTAAACATTTAAGTCCTTGTTGTAGCATGTAAAATCTTTCCTCTGAATGTAAAATGGATGAGTTAGTTCCATTCATCATTGAAAGGTATTGAGAATCATAGAGTTTACACTGTTTTGAATCATGATGCTTCTCAGGAAATTGAAGAAGTGAATTGCTAGAACTAGTACAGAGATTCTCACTACAACAGAGAATGTAAAAAAGAAATACTTGGAAAGCAGTTTCAGCTGACCCCTTTGATAAGACTAAGTTGCGTGACATATCTGATGTGGAAGCAGAAATTGTACAGCAATAGGAAGTTGTTATCTCCATATCTCAAATGCTAACACAGTTCCCCCAGTCAACTGTGAGATAGATCTACTCTTGTTATGACAGCTGTTGGAAGCTGATGTCAGTATAACTGTGCAATGTCTTTTGATAATCTTAACTGTTACAAACCTTAAAATATGTTTATGATGTTATCTAAGACACACTGTTTGAAAATGGCTCTATTTATAATCAGAAATCGCTCAAGCTATTTTAATAAATAAATCATACACTTGGGAGTTTCCTAGTCAGATCTGCTTGAAAAAGCATTGTGAACTTTTTGTTTCTGAAGGCTTAAGCCTGAGGATTAATTAATGTTTATACAGCTCTTAGTAAAAGCAAAGTTACTAGTGCCAAGAATTATTACTATTTAATCTTTAAAAGTCAGATCAATGACAGGCTAAACTGTCAGAGAACTGCTATTTAAAACAACAAAATTTGCTGAAAATCCTCTTCCCACCATGCTTGAATGTGTTCAAGTGTGCTTTCATTTCAGCCTCACTTACATACAGACAAGCAAAGATATTTTTCAGCTTAATTGGGTTGACGCCCATCTTTGTTTAAATATCTGGGGGATTACCTAAAATCCTAGGGGCTTCTTAGAAAATTTAAAAAAACTTTGTTTCTTAAATGCATTTTCAGGGCCTAAATGTTGCAAATAATTATCTATACAAATCCTACTCAGCACTGTAATCTATCTGATTAACCAGTGTTTCTCCTGTGTGCAACTTCACCCATTTGTGTGATAGGTCAGACCCTTGTAGTGATAGTTTAATTGTGTTAGACTTGCACAGCTATTTTGACTTCTGAGGAAAAAGACTCCTTGCTTTATTTTTTAAACTTTGCTTCCCTTTCTACTTTACACCAAGCAGAGGTAAAGTTTAGAAACAATTTTCCTCAGAAAATAAATGTACAAATTGGAAAACAAGCAACAAGCAAGAGGGGACTGGAAAGGCAGAGAAGCTCATCAGCAAAGCATAGAATTAATAAATAAAGCCATCTTTTCAGGGTTACAGGAACATATTTTAGCACATCATTGTGACTTAGGGAGAAATACCACATTTTGCTTTGGCTATGCCTGAAATTATATTCTTTCTTGACAGCTATACACATATTATTCATACAGTGCTAATTACTTTCCTTATAATATAATTGACTTGTTAAGTAAGAATATGAATTAATTGATGGCATGGAAAACTAAGTGATTCCAAGTCAGGCCTAGTTAATCTGTGTCTGGTATATTATCTCTTGATATTCAGTAAATTGAAGTTTTATATATACAAATACTGTTTTAATTAGAAGAAACAAACTTTGCAGACTGACTAATGAAAGGTATCTACATTTATCTGGAAGTGTTGATAACTTGATCTTCCTCAGATGCAAGCATGCTGTTAAAATTTGGGTTTGCATGTTGCAATGGTGCATACTGAAATATGAATATATTCAAGGTCCTGTGGACTGGTAGACATCTTAAAGAATAGTGTTCAAGTGATGCTTGACAGACTTTTAGTTGCAATTTGTTAATAAATGTATTTAAAATTTATATACACCTAAATTTAGACCTAAGACTATATAAGTCAGTATTACTAGCCACCATTAAGACTAGATCTTCAAAGACCTCAGCGTCTGGAATGTTTGCAAGTCTGGTCCCAATTATGGGTTCTAAGTTCTTCTGAAAATCTAAATTATATTTAAATACTACAGAAGGAGTTTGAGTCTTATTTTAACAGTCTGACTCCAGCTGCAGGCACAGAACACTCATGGATTTGGCCCAAACTCATACAAAGATCTGGCCCTTTAAAACTGCAAATGTGTGAATAATTCTATACCTTCAAAAGATTGTTCCCTTAGAATGAATTTCTGGAGTAGATGTCTCAAAATTTCTTCAACACAATACTTTTCATAAATAAGAGTTTGAGGAACAGAGTACAAAACACTATGAGTGGATATTGCACCACTGAAATGCAGCAAAACTTCTATGAAATTCAGCAAAACTAGCTGTTGGCTCTAGACAAACCTAAGACTTCTTTAATATATTTATTAAAATGCCTTAGAGGAAACTTCTATCATCAGGTCAGAAGATTACTTTTATTTTCAATATTTCATATGGTACAGCTGAACTATAATCCCTTCAATCTTAAAATAAAACCATTTCCTTTTGTGGATAAGGATGTTATGCTTATAAATTTAGTTCTAAAAACTTGTGGAAGTGGAGACTTTTTTTCATCTCAAGTATGGAACTATTAGGCTTTAAAGTGTTGTCTGAAGAAGACACAGTTTAATAAATGCACTGAGAGCAAACAAAGTATTACAGTGTGTAGGAGATATGGTTGGTCTTTCCTTAGAGAATAACTACTCCCCTGAGTCATGTAATACATGAATTCAAATACAAATTTACAAAACTATAGATGGTATGAATGAGCAGTGTAACCCAAAATCTTATGTACCCCCAAAACATTGAAAAATAGTGGGTTTGCTTCAGTTTTTCAATCTATTATTCTAGATAGTCTGTTCTCTATATAATTCTGCCCAAGAGCTGCAAACAAAATGCTGCATAAATTACAAACAATTTTTTGAACTTTGTACACACAATGATGTGTAGTATTATTGGTTATGCGAACTTTTTAATTCCTTAAATTCTTGCAACACAAAACTGAGAAACAACCCCAAAATTCAATACCTGTTATCTGATGAAGTTTTCCAGTGCCAGAGTTTCTGCAGCTTAATTTCACACCGCCGGAGCTTCTGAATTAAATGCTTTTGCCTCCTTAAAAAAAAAAAAAAAAGAAAGAAAAAGAAAAAGAAAAGAAAAAAAAAAAGTATGTCAGCACAAGCCCAGACGAAACTCCAAATCCGGGAAAATAAAATTAACCATGCAGATCAAAGGCAGACGAGCACTGAGACCAAATGCCTGTAATCTGATCAGTGATCAGTTGCCGTACATCAAAGGCAGTGCTTTGGCGAGGAAAAAGAGCTCCTTTTCCAGCAGGTAGCTGCACTCAAATTCTGCCTTTCAGTGCTCTGCGCTGGCTCTTTTCCCCCTGTCCTTGCTTGTGCTGGGAGAATGCACACGATTCTGAAATGCTTGGGGTTGAGTGGCTGGATCTGTAGCTTTTGAGTTCCCAAGCTGTGTTGTGGATTGTGTGCTGGAAGCTTTCCCCAGTGCCAGCGGGTTCCGCTTTATCCCTTTCATCTCGCTGAGCTGCAGATCCCATGACATCATTCAATGCTGTGGGACTGGTTAGAGAGCTGTAATACAGCCTGTGGGGGAATGCAGCTAAAGAGCAGCAAGAGTTTGCATGATTTCTAATCAGGTTAGTCCATTGTAGCAAACCCAAGGCTCACTTCAAAGTCTTCACTACATTTAAGTTTCCTCCCAAGAAGAAAGAATAGTGTAGCTAGAAAGTTTTCTTTAAAAGATCCTTTATAATTTTGACTGCAAAAGGAAGTTACAGTCTTTCATAAAGTTCTGAAGTCAGACATGAAGGTCGGTTTGCTAGGCAGCTGTATCACATAAGAGAAACTACTTTTGTTTATCTCTTTGTCGAGATTTGGAGCAGAGAAAATGGTGCATTTCACACGCTGGCATTGGATTTTTGCACTGGCAAAACCAAGCACAATAGAGCATGCTCTTAGTCCCTGTCTCACATCCTCCCTGCTGCTTACTGTGTGGCCTTTTGCAAATCGTTTTATTTGAGCCTGATTCATCTGTGGCTCATGATTCCTTTAAGTAAATGAGCTGTGAAGCTGCCATAAGTAACTCACTGAAGTGTTTTTCAGTGTAAAGGCATTTTTTAGCTAGAGTAGATTTGAAGTGGTCACCATTGCGCTTCCGCAGAGGGAGGGAATGTCTGTCCATACACTCCCATGACCCACAACCCCATGGCTTGTGGGTCATGGGAGTGTATGGACAGACATTCTCTGTGCTGCTGCAGGTCACAGCTCTGAGGATTGCTGGAAGGTCCTGCGTAGCCCTCAAGGCTGCTGTGACTTTCTCACTTGCAGTGCAGAGGAAAGGCAGAAGAAATCTACGACTGAATTTCATATTCAGTGATCTGAGGCTAAGTTAGCTTTTGGCACAGAGATTGATTCAGCCCTCTGTACTTCAGCTGTTAATAAAACATACAAATATCAAGCAGGACGGATTTTAGGATAATCAGCCGTATTGAAGATGTCACTGAAGTTCCCATCCACGCATACATCATCCTTTGGGCATACCACATGTGCAGATGAAAGTGATACGAGCCTGTCAACCGGGAGACGCATGCAAATATTTGCACACCGAGTAACCGAGAATTCATTTAAAAGGCAAAAGCAGAAGGAGGCAATATGCTAGACCCATTTGCCTTAAGCGTTAAAACAAAAGCAAACAATCAGCGGATAATGGGCACTGGATAGGCGAGCGCGGGAGCCAGAGAGTGTCCGGCGGGGATCCCTCGTTCTGCTCCCCGTGTGTGGGCTGCAGCCTCCTCCGTGTCCCTGCTCGTCCCCCGCTCCTTGCCCTGCGCAGCGCCGCTCGGGAATGATGCTCCCGCCGCACTCGGTGGGATAGGGAGCCTTCTGCTGGCGGGACGGCGCACTGTGGGCCCGCAAGGAGCACTCTGCTCCTTGAGATGGCAAGAAATATTTCCAGAAATGCTCGAGAACCTTACAAAAGGTGTTGCAGAATGTAATGCTGTTGCTGGCTGGACGGAGTTTAATTATTGGTTTGTGTCACCTGTCCAGGCAGGCCTTTGATGTTCTGGTAACCGAGATGGAGAAGAGCTGATGCACGTACAAAGAAGTATGGTGCAGGTAATGAATTGACTTTCAGGTATACACTGCTGGAAAAAAAACATGAACAAACCATATATTTATCTCTTTCTCTAATTTCCACTTCCAACTATTACAAATAAAAGAAAATTATCCAGGCTGTTTACTTCTCTTTCAACATTAATTTGCATTCTTCTGATATACAACCCTCTATCACCAGAAAGTTTTTTGATAAGACTCCATTTGTAGCTTTTGTGGTAAAACTGGAAATACTTATATTGAAATAAAATGTATGGGTGGGCTGTGCTGAACTAAAATAACCCCTTCAATTTCAATGGTGCTTTAAGAACAAAGCTCTTCAGAGAAAGCGCCCCTTATTTCTCTGGATTTTAAGCAAAAGCAAGTCCTGATGGTTTATTAGAGGTCTTTGATCTTTCTTTCATACATATGAAAAAGAGAAGTAAGGTTAATTATTGCCAATCTAACCTTCTAAAGCTTAGGCATTGCATTTTGCATTTATGACACTACTTTTCACTATGGAGTCTGTCAGCCTGAACTATCTGCTACTTCCTATTTTATGGCTCCTCAAAATTTGGCCAGATGTGTGTAATAATAACAACAGCTGCTGTTTCCATTGCTCAATATTTTTCCAAAAGCTGATAATGACTTTTACTCCTTACATAAAATAAGGATAATATTGTGATTTGTATAAAGCACAGAACAGACTAGAGTCAGAAACAGAACTTACCTAAGGTGACACTTCACTTTTACACTTTTTGATCATCAGCTCATGCTTTCTCTTGTGGTCACTAACCTAGCAGAGCATTCAAGCAAAAGTGGTCTGAAATCCATTAAGTTCCTCCCTAGAGGCTTGATTCTAATCACTGAAATTACTGAGATAGGAAATTACTGAAACTGGGGACCCAACTTTTACTCACTATCTAGGTATCTAAAAAGCTTTTCTGAAAGAAGCACTTGTGATTTCTGTGAGAAACCAGAGAGGTGTCTCTGGACAGGAAGTTCTGCAGAGGGAGATGCTCTCTTCCCGCCTCATTGCTTAAATTTTGACAGAATCTTCCTTGAGAAACATTTATTGGGTTTATCCTTCTCTATTTACCACATGAGGATCTCAGGCTCTTAGATTCCTCTTTAAGAATTTTTCGGGAAACAGAACAAAGTCCAGGGCTGCTATTCATAGCCAGTGCTTAACTGGGTCAAAGCCATAACAGATTGTCAGTTGATAGAAGTAATAAATTTCTGGACATGTTTTTTAAGTATAACCAAATCTTGGGAAAAATTATTTGTGGAAGAAACAATCTAGCCAAATAAAGGGGTTTGTACCCCTGCTCTATTCTTAATATATCTAATATTCCTAATATTCAAGCTATGCCTTATATACTTGTATCATATACATCAAATGATTTATCATGTTGCTTTATACATGAGCTATCTGCACCTCTTCACTGCACCTCTTCCCTTTGCTTTCCCTCAGTACACAGGAGCTCCAACAGATGTTCAGAGGGGAGGTCAGAAACTATCACAGGAAAAGCAGTGCCATTGTTACAGCCCACTCACTGGCCATGCAGCCACTGCTTGTGCTGGCTGCAGCCTTTCTAAGTGTGGCATAAATGCTGGATATCCTGTTATAAATACCACACAAGCAACATTGGTGGTGTTACAAGTTTTCATCCTGCACATCTACTGTGACTGCTGTCTCCTGATGAAAAGTGATGAGATACTGATTTATAGAGGTGGGAGACCATTTTCAGAAACTTTTATGGCAGATCAGCACTATCTCTGGAGCAATGCTTATCTATCCTGGTCCCAGTTAATGTCAGAAGTGCTGATCATTGCTCTCCTAAAGTATTAGGGGGATATTGTTCCATGAGGCAAGTCAGCCCTGTGGTGAGGAGAGATGCTTTAGAATACCCAAATCCAACCACCTGCATTATCTGCACTGCCATCCCGACAGAAGCTGGCATCCTGTTTCTGCTGGATCACAGGGCTGTTGTTAGGCCAGGTGTTGCTGATACCTACTCCCACTTCCTGCTTCAGCACTTGCAAGCTCCTTGAGAGTCATAATGTGTAAGAACTTCAGATACAGCACCTTTAGGCAGAAAAATCAAGACCCTTTGGCATATCCTGAAAAACTGGCTCACTGTTATCACCTACTGTGTCATCAGACTCACCCTAATCCGCAACACTGTGCACTGTCAGTTGCAGTGCAACTTGCTCTAGTTAATAATAGCTTTGGATGTAGTTCCATTAAATTTTGATTTTTCAAGGAGAAAAATTCTGTCTGCCATTTATGTGTTCTGCAATAGCAGGTCTCTGACCTCATGATTTGGGTGGAGAAAACAGCTTTTTTTGCTTGTCTTTGGTCTTGAATTTTTATTGCAGTTTGCCTGTGGGTTTTTTCCCCCATGGGTCTTCATAGGAGACAGCTTTGACTTGTTCCTTTATGAGTACCTTGAGATCTAAGCAAAATGGAGACTTTTAGTTCTTGACACTCCAGGTGGATCACTCTGAGGGAAGCCTCACGGGCATTGCCACATTGAGATAACATGGAAAGTTCTGAATTTGGCTTTGAGGTTGTCCTCAAGGATAATGTAGATGCACACTGTAGGAAGTAATAGCTAATTTACCTGTGATTGGGAGTCAGAAATTGTGGTTTTATTCCTGGTTCTATTACATGGCTATGACTGGAGGCAAGTTACTTTTTCTCACTGTGTTAGATCTTCAGTTGTGTAAGTTTTAGCTAAAATTAAATCGAAGGAGTAGTGTTGGTTTATGCTGTATGGCCATCCAGTTTCCCTCAGTTTCCCTCAGTTTGCTTTCTTAACCCTTTAGAATAATGTAAAAATAATTCTTTGTAATACTATACCTGAAATAATGAAAAGCAATTCTGCATGAATTCCAACCCAAAATAATCTGGTTCTGAAACTTCAGAAGTTTCTCTATTGAAAGCGTTCTTGAGGATTAATTAGAATAACAAGCATCCCTAGGGCAATAGTGTGCTTTTCACTTTATGTGAAATCGTTTCACAGCCCTTACCTGTCCTCACACACAACCAAGAAGTGAAGAAAGAAGTTTCTGCCATGTCTTCATTCTTTATTATTTCACTAAATGAAAACACAAAGTTTCTTTCCCTCTTTTCACTTGTACTGAAATGGTCCACTGTGATTTCTGCCTCTTAGGGTGGGTGAAGTTCTGCACCAGCCGGCAAACTTTAATAACCTAGGACTCTTTCCAGAGGTGCTGGTGGAGTTGTGTCAGTGAATTGACTTCCCTAAGGCTG